TTAGTATGCCTTCTGTATAACTCTAGTGTTTAGAATCTGATATATAGAGCTAGCTTCCCCCATCATTATTGTTGCACTTTTTTCCCCCCTACCGTTGTTTCTCAACTCCATTCTAACCTTAGGCAAATATTCACTTTCAGACTTTGCCAATCTTTTTTTCTATAACTGTTCCAATAACAGAGGTGACCACATTTGTTCCTCAGAGATTAGAAGAGTGGGAAGGCCGGCGCTGCGGCTCACTAGGCTAATCCTCCGCCTTGAGGCGCCAGCACACCGGGTTCTAGTCCCAGTCGGGGCACCAGATTCTGTCCCGGTTGCCCCTCTTCCAGGCCAGCTCTCTGCTGTGCCCAGGGAGTGCAGTGGAGGATGGCCCGAGTACTTGGGCCCTGCACCCCATGAGACACCAGGATAAGTACCTGGCTCCTGCCATCGGATCAGCGCAGTACGCTGGCCGCAGCACGCCGGCCGCGGTGGCCATTGGAGGGTGAACCAACGGCAAAGGAAGACCTTTCTCCCTGTCTCTCTCTCTCACTGTCCACTCTGCCTGTCAAAAAATAAAAAAAAAAAAAGAAAGTGGGAAAGGAGGTGTGGGCAGATACTGCACCTTACCAAAGAACCATAAAGTTCCATGAAAGTATTATGCATCATTTTAATACATTCTTGTGATTTTTAAAAAGATTTTTTTTGATTTATTTATTTGAAAGAGTGACAGAGAGAGAAAGGGAGAGATCTTTCATCCTCTGATTCACTCCTCAAATGGCCACAATGGCTAGAGCTGGGCCAGGAGCTTCTTCCGGGTCTCCCACGTGGGTGCAGGGGCCTGGCACTTGGATCATCTTCTGTTGCTTTCTCAGGCACATTAGCAGAGATGGATCAGAAGTGTAGCAGCTGGGACTTGAACAGGTGCCAGTATGGGATGCCAGATCACATGTGGAGGCTTAACCTACTATGCCACAACACTGGCCCCTACTCTTGTGATTTTAACATTCACTTTACTACATATGTGTAGACTTTTCATCAATCAATATTCCTCATTCCAATGAAGGAAAGTTGAGAATTGCTCATTTTTTGTGACTTTTAAAGTTTTTATGTGAATAATTTCCATTTATCAATTTTAAGATATTGAACAGCTTATTCTTGTGGGAATGACTCATTGTAAAACAACATGGTGATAACCGCTGATCTGCTTTGCTCATCAACCCAACAAGGGACTCAGTTTCCATTTTGCCATATACCTGGTTTCTGTGTTATTATTAGGAAAGAGTAGTCTCCCTCTATTTCTGGTTCAGATTCAATGGAACCTAGACCTAGGGGGTACGCATTGTTTTTGCACCAGTCCCTAAACGTCCAATACCCTATGCCAGGCAAGGAACTGCCCTTGTAGTTTTGTTTCCATTTAATGAAAAGCCTCTTGATGAATCACCATGAGATTTAGTGTAGCTGGAATCCTTCCTGATCCCATCAGAGGTAGTACAGTTGCTTCCTGCATCCTTGGGAGACTGTTTCCAGGAAATCCCATGGATACCAAAATCTACAGATGCTCAAATGCTTATAAAAATATCCTGGCATAGGCTTACACGTAACCTACAACAGCCTCCTGTATACTATAAATAACTATCTACTTGAAAGACACAGTGACAGAGAGACAAAAAGAGAGATCTTCCATCTGTTGGTGCACTCCCCAAATGGCCACAGCCACCAGACCAAAGCCAAGAGCCAGGAAATCACTCTAGTTTTCCTCTGTTGGTTGCACGTACCTAAGCACTTGGACCATCTTCTGCTGCCTTTTCATGTGCATTAGCTGGAAGCTGGATTGTAAGTGGGGCACCTGGGACTCAAACAGGAGCTCCATTATGGGACGCCAAGTGATGCAAGTGACACCTTAACTCCTTGTGCCGCAATGCTGGCCACATCTCTTGTATACTTTAAATAATCTCTGGATGGCTTACAATGTCCAATACAGTGTAAGTCATATGTAAATAGTTATTGTACTGTATTACTTTGGGAATAATGATAAGAAGAAAAAGTGCACATGCTCAGTAGAGACTGCTTTTTTTTTTTTCTTTCTGAGTAGTGTTGATCTTCCTGAATCCACATATGCAGAATCTGCAGAGATGGAGGTTGACTGCAGATGTAGCCCAAGTGCTGTAGCAGTGGGGCTGGTCCACACTGTGCGCATCATGGGGCCATTCAACTAAAATGCATTCATTGGTAAATTCTCCTTTAATACAAATATAGTTGCTTCACAGTTGGCTTCTATGGGATGTTCAGTTCACTCAAAATTCTGGAGTAAACATGATATACCTTCTTGTGAACACTGTCTATTTATCCTGGGGTTAATTGTGTTTATTTTATTTTTTAAGATTTATTTGTTTATTTGAAAGATCTACACAGAGAGAGAAGGAGAGGCAGAGAGAGGTCTTCCATTCGCTGGTTAACTCCCTAGATGGCCGCAAAGAGCCAGGAGCTTCCTCTGGGTCTTCCACATGGGTGCAAGGGCCCAAGAACTTGGGCCATCTTCCACTGCTTTCCCAGGCCATAGCAGAGAGCTGGATTGGAAGTGGGGCAGATGGGACTTGAACCGGTGCCCATATGGGATGCCAGCACTGCAGGTAGTGGCTTTTTCTGATAAGCCACAGCGCTAGCCCCAGTCATCATTTTTATTCTGTATCCGAGATGGAGGTTAACTTGCCTTCCTCATTCAGGGTAAGCACTGATTTCAGCATTTTCCACATCACCAGGCTTTCCGGGGAGTGTGGTTTGAGGGGTCTTGCAGGGGTCTGTCCTGCACTCCTGGGGCAGTAGAGTGGCCAGACTTGGGAACTGGGTTATTGCACTGCTGTTATCTACCTCATGACTTGGGACAAATTATTTAACCTCTTTTAGCCTCAGGTTCCCTGTCCTTAAAGTGCAAGTATAGTTGCAGTCTCATGGGTGTTGTGATGAACAATAAATGAAGTATCACATATGAAATCATGTTTGTTTGGAACACTCCTGGGTGTAGGTAAATGCTGCAGGCAAGCAACTGCCATTATCACATGGGTCTCCCTTTCTCTTCCCCTCTCTCTTCTGCTGTCTTGCTTCAGAATCACAGGAATTTTCCTCTGTGCTTTCTGGTATCAGAGTTTTTTTTTTTTGTTTGTTTGTTTGTTTGTTTGTTTTTTCTTTTTTTCCAACCGTGTGTATCTTAGCATCTCACCAGACACTCAGGGATTCAGAGACACTTATTAAATAACTCAATAACTACACTGGAAAATAAAGTGGATTTTTCTACCTTGCTCTTCCAGAATTTTCATATGAGCATGGGCATATTGCTTCTCCATCCTGTCTAAGCTCATTTCTCTCTTCTTCCTCCTTTGCTCACTGTTTTTTTTTTCTTTTTGCTCCATCTCCTGTTTCTGGTAGTTTTTCCTCCTATTCCCATGCACTTGCTTTTTCTTCTTCCCCGGTGAAGATGCCTGTGCTGCCTGCCCTTCTTTTCACACTGTTCTGTTCCCAGTCTCCTCTCTGAATACATCGTGCACATCCAAGCCCCTTCACACCACACAGCATCATTCCTACCCGAAATTTCATTTCCCACCTGTCCTAGTGACTATGACTGAATCCTTTAAAATCTAAGTTCAATAACGCATACTTAGTCATAAGTAATCATTTTCAGTTCTGCCACTCGGTGTCATTCATATATACCAAGCAGCATTTATTATTTGAATTTGAATTTATAATTAGCACTTAATGGCAAACACTAGGTTTCTGTCTAGCTCCACAATACCAACTGCAGTGAACACAGAGAAACATGTTTATTGAATGAATGAATATGAGGCTAAGAACGGGAGACTTTTAGTCAATTTCTCATAGTAGGACCTAGGAAGAGGTAGATACAAAACAATTAGAAATACAGGCGTAGGTTCAATCTGAATGCTGCCTAATTCTGCTGATTGCCTGGTGCCTGGACAAAGCAACTCTGTAAGCTACACCGATGTTTGTCTTCTCTCCCATAGCTTCCAGCAAACCCACACTTCAACCAAAGCAAACTATTCTCATGTCCTGAAGGTATCAGAGAATTTTTATGATGCTGAGAAGTTATAATCTGGCACTCTGGAACCCAGTGGATGTCAAGGAGTTTGTCTTTTAGCTCTGTATTCCTACAGTCTACCACTATGTGCATTCTTGCTGGGTTCGAAGAAGCCCTTTTGGTTGGGGAGATGAATAGGTCCACACTCCTAGCTGCTCAACAATTACTCATTCGGCAACAATCAGGCCTAAAAGCAAGAGCAAGAGGGTTTGGGTGTGCATGCTGAAGGGTTTTGCAGTTTAAACTGACTGCTAGCATCTTCCTGGTGGGAGGAGACACTGAGGAGTAGTTTGGTGTTACTAATAGGTATGTGACATAAGAGTAGTTATATGGGTAGCCTAGCATCCTTCATTTTCCTTTCAGGGAGGAAATAAAGCTAAAAAAAAACTTAGTATTCATACCAATTTTATCTTTTTATATTCTAGGTTGCTTTGACATTACTAACATTATTGTCTATCAGTACTATTATTATTCTGTGTAAAATTATAGCTAAGTTAACTAGACCTTATACATACCAAAAAATATAGGCAACTTGGGATAAGACTAAGGTTGATTTCCAAAAGACTTCATGAATTTGCTGTTATATATAGACATTACGTTTGTCTAAGATGTGCACTGAGTGTGGGACATCATATATCTCCTCTGAAAAAGATCTTAAATGCTATGACATTAGCCACTTGCTTATAATTAAAGTATGTTGCCATTTCACCAAGCTTTCATTTACAGGAGAAAGTGCAAATTCCATTCCCCTTGAACTTTAGCTACTTCCAACTTTTTTCTTTGTTCTTTTCTTTAAAGCTTTGCAACAAATGCATCCCCATATGCTTATATTAGTTAATCTAGTATTAAACATATTGGCTGTGCAAAATGTTGGCACCCATTAATAAATGTTTTCATTTTTTCATTCTCTCTCTTTTTTTAACTTTAGATTCTTCCTTTGACTACACAAGCAACAGCTGTCTAGCTGCCTGCACAGGACTGGATCTAATGCCTCTACAGAAATCTAGGTCAAAACACTTGGAATGCATGAATATCAAACAGAGTTTTCAAAACAGCAAATGAATACATCTTTAACTGGTGACATTTTCCTGGAACATATGGCTGCAAGCTCAGGGGACTGGATGCTTTTTTGATGAATACGTTCCGTCAAAAACTAAGGGATGGCAGGAGGCTTTTGCCACCTTCTGTTTTGCTTTATGAAATGATAATGCAAACTCGTAGATAGATCCAATGATCACAAGGCTTTTACCTTCAGACCTATTCTAAAGACATTTCCCTTTTGGACGATTCACTTTGTCTTTAGTTGGGTTTGAGTTCATACATAGTCGTCAAAGGTGATAGCCAGTCGGAGGAGTTTCCTTTTCTTGGGCACAATTTGATTGGGAGAAGTGTTCAAAAACTTGAACTGCAAAGCAAATCTCACCAAAGAGTCAGTATTAAGGGGCAAGATAATCATTTCCCAATGAGCAGCACAGGGAAAAACCTTGGGAAATTGGAGACTGGCTCCTTAAGCTTCAATCTGCCAACAGTAAACCAAGTGGGACCTTGGACTTGGTCTGTCAACTCTGTGACTTCACCATTATTCTCTCATGTCAAATTAAGGTAGAAGACTATTGCTTTTATGTTCTCTCTATTTCTAAACTTCCAGGTATGAGTAAGTGTGTAGCTGTTTACTTGTTAATCACTCAGTGTGTTTGTAATGATGCTGCAAAGATGTCTTTGAACTCTTTCTTGGTTGACTGAGTGTTTGTTTCTTAAAAAGAAACTAGATTCTGGGCCAGCACTGCAGCCTAGTGAGTAAAGCTGCCTCCTGCAGTGCCGGCATCCCATATGGGTACTTGTTTGAATTCTGGCTGCTCCGCTTCGATCCAGCTCTCTGCTGTGGCCTGGGAAAGCAGTAGAAGATGGCCCAAATCTTTGGGCCCCTGCACCCTGCGTGAGAGACCTGGAAGAAGCTCCTGGCTCCTGGCTTCTGGCTTCGGGTCGACACAACTCTGGATGTTATGACCATTTGGGGAGTGAACCTGCAGATCGAAGACTTCTCTCTGCCTCTGCCTCTCTGTTACTCTGCCTTTCAAATAAATCAATAAATCTTTAAAAGAGAGAGAGAGAGAGAGAGAGAGAGAGAGAGAGAGAGAGAGACAAGAGGGGCCGGCGCCATGGTGCAGTGGGTTGATCCTCCATCTGTGGCGCCAGCATCCTATATGGGTGCTGGTTCTAGTCCCAGCTGCCCCTCTTCTGATCCAGCTCTCTGCTATGGCCTGGGAAAGCAGTGGAAGATGGCCCAAGTGCTTGGGCCCCTGCACTTGCATGGGAGACCAGGAAGAAGCACCTGGCTCCTGGCTCTGGATCAGCGCAGCTCCAGCCATTGCAGCAATTAGGGAGTGAACCAGCGAATGGAAGATATCTCTCTCTCTCTCTCTCTGCCTCTCCTTCTCTCTCTGTGTAACTCTTGACTTTCATGTAAAAATAAATAAATCTTTAAAAAAACAAGATTTATTCTTTCTTTAACACCATGGGGCTGGTCTGGTTATGCTGGGCGAGGAAGGAATGATGATCCATTGATCTCTCTCTTTTCTCCCCTCCTAGGAAAGCATCTGAAACCCAACTGGAAAGTCTGGGTCACCACCAAGCCCAGTGTGAAATCCATTGGCTTAGTAACAGTGGTGATGACAAAGGAAATGTCAGGGACTGTGTTTCTTTCCTTTTGCATTTAGCTAGAGTATGTGAAAGAAACTTAGTGCATTTCAGCTGCAGGTTAAACTTTAAGCCTCATGTTAGCTTCTAGTTTGGCTTTTGTTTAAAAAAAAAAAAAACAGTTGAACTCACAATCATTATCAGAATCTATAACTGGGTCATTTTATTCAGAAAATGAACTTGCTCTCCCTCACACTGAGTCGGTATACCCAACCAGATTCTCAAAATCACATTAAGAAAATACTGAGGCTAAAGGGGCGTTCTCATCACAGATACCTTGTGGCCCGGTTTCCAGAAAGAAGGAGTTAGTGCCACAACATGGTGTGTGACGTAGTTCACAGCAACACTCTCTATGTTTTATAAAGAATTAGAAGACAGGATCTGAGAACTCCAACCACAATGAAGTTACAGGAAGATGGAAATGCTAGTCATGCTGATTTAATCAGCACACTGTATGTCCATATAATGAGATATCACACCATGCCCCATGAATATGTATAATTATTTCATGTTAAAAAATAGAAAGAAAAAAACTACCACTGTTACCAGGTTCTTGAGTAGCTTGTCAATGTGATTTATGCATAAACAGTTGTATGTACACATATGTTTGTATGTGTGTGTTTGCCTTTTTAGTGAAATGAAAGGACATGGAACACAGATAAAAGCACTTAGCTTTTTAACTTAGTAGCATTCCTAGATATTATATCTTAACAAGTGTATATAATAAGTATGTTTCTTTTTTTAAAGACTTCATAGATCTTACTGCGGATTCTTAAAACTTTTTTTAAGAATTATTTTATTTATTTGAAAGACATAATTACAGAAAGAGGTAGAGCCAGAGAGAGAGAGGTCTTCCATATTCCTGGTTCATTCCCCAAATGAGTGCAACAGCCAGAGCTGAGCTGATCTGAAGCCAAGAGCCAGGAGGTTCTTCCAGTTCTCCCACGAAGGTGCAGGGTCCCAAGGGCTTGGGCCATCTTCTACTGCTTTTCCAGGCAATAGCAGAGAGCTGGATCGGAAGTGGTGCAGCTGGGACTAGAACTGGCACTCACAAGGGATGCCGGCATTGCAGGCTGGGGTTTTAACCCACTGCACCACAGCACTGGCCCCTGCATAGAACTTTTAAAATCAATCCATTTTAAAAATCATTGACTTGAATTTTTGTGCTTTTTTCTGTTTACTAATGAAGTATCAATGAATGCCCATGTATGTATGTATGTGTTTATGAATACATGTGAAAACATCTAAAGGAAAGTCTTATAAAAATAAAATTGCTGGGTTAAAAGGTATGTACACATTCAATTTAGATAGATTGAGACACCTAACATTTAACCATAGTTGATATTTGCATTTTTAAGGAAAACATGACTGCAGTGAAACGTGTTTCATAATTTACAAACTACATATGTATAGATACAGATAGATAGATAGATATATAAGCTCTCTTCATATCCATTGTCCATAAAATGAAGTAAGATAATAACTTAATAGCCTTCTGGGAAAATGAATAAAATTGTACTCCTACTTATTTTCAACACAAAAATAAAATTCATTTGGGCCAATGATTTTGTGCTAAAAATGAAACCATTGAAGTACTATTGGAAAACCTGACAGGTTGTTTTCTTATAACTAATCCAGAACTAAGGAGGGTTTTTCTGAGCATCCTATAAACCTTACAAGAAATGATTCTAAAGATGCATACATTCATAAAAGAAGTACACTAGGAAAAAGGAAGACTGTCACAGTTAGATGAATGGCAGTCACATTTGACAGATGCCAATGCTTTAAATGGTTCATAGAAACCATCCTAGCTCAATCTGCCAAAACTAAGAGACTGTTGTTCTCATCCTGCAAGAAATTATGGAGAATAAACTACAAAACCATAAAGGGCCTGGAACATACATAACCCTAAATGAGACCCATTCTAGAAAGCTAAGACCCCTTCACAGATGGTAGTGGACCCCACAGTTGCCCTCATCCCTGAGGGAGCTCCAGGCAGAAAGGACAGCCTGTAGCCAGGGCACGGAGGACCCCAGCTGACCAAGAATGGTCTTGGCCTGGCCGACTTCAGTTCCGCAGGACCTCAGACATATCTCAAGTCTGGACCAGGCTGCAACTCTTCCCTCCAGTCTTCCCTGACTGCAGGACTGCTCAGTGATATTGTCACCTCTGGAGAGCTGAGGGTGGCTTCTGCTGCTCAGAAGGAAAGAGAGAAACCACCCGGGACAAGCCAACCTTCAAAGAGGACACGCATAGAAACACCTGTCCTTGATGACTAACGTATTTGCTGTGGTTTGGATATGGCTTGCGTGTCTCCCAAGTCTTCACGTGTTGGAATTTAACTCAAATGGTGATTAAGAGTGTAGAATTGTAGTCCTTTAAAAAATAGCAATAATTATGCATATTTATGGGCCTCAGTGTGATACTTCAGTACATGCCCACAATGTCTATTGAACAAAGCAGGTAATCAGCCTACCTCCTTCTCTGACATTACTTTATGATTGGAGGCTTCAGCTTCTTCCTTCTCTTTAACAGTATCTACGAGGTTATTGTGAACTAGTGTCCCCACTATGCTTGTAGCACTAGGAACTTACTCCTTCACAACGACGGTGTTAGGGTCTTTTGGGAAGTTATTTGGATTAGATAAAGTTTTTAGGGTGGAAGCCCCAGGATTGCATCCAGATGGCTTTATAAAAGAGAGAAACTAGAAATATACATATAGACACACACACACAATCCCTGTGGCTTATCATGTGATGATGTGTACTGACTCAGGACTCTGGCAGCAAGGTCATTACCAGATACGAGCCTGTGAATGTCCAGAACCATGTATTATTAAATGTAATTATAGTTCATATTATTTCACTTGTTCTCACTGCATTTTCTATGTGTCACTACAGCCTCAGTGTTTTTACCCAGTGACTTGTCCAGGAACACATGTACAGTTTCTGAATAAATAGGAACTACAAAAATTATTCTTTCTTTTTAAAAAATTTTATTTATTTTATTTGAAAAACAGAATTATGCAAAGAGAGAAGATTAAGTTGAGGTGGAGGGAGAGAGAGATCTTTCATTTTCTGGTTCACTCCACAAATGGCTACAATGACCAGGACTTGGTCAGACCAAAGCTAGGAGCCAGGAACTTCATCCAGGTCTCCCATGGGTGTACCCGGGCCCAAGCACTTGAGCCATCTTCTTTGCTTTCCCAGGTGCATCAGCAGGGAGCTGGATTGGAAGTGGAGCAGCCAGTAATAGAACTGATGCCCATATGATATGCTGGCATTTCAGGTGGAGGCTTAACCCGCTATGCCACAGTGCTGGCCCCGTACATGTTTTCTTAATGGTGTGTGCTAAAATGTCTATTTTGTATTATCTAAGGGACGAGATGCTGGGCATTCTAATTTACATCTTGTAATGTGGTGCCAAATTACTTCCCAAATGAGCTGTAGCCTTTGCACCAGCACCAGAGGAGTAGAAAATGTCATGCTAAAACATATCCTCTCCAGCTCCTGGTATTACCAAGAATGTGTGCAGGATGAATAATTGTAAAGAAGTGTCCCACTTTGGTCTTGACTTACATTTTTTTCTGATTAAGATTGATGTTTACTGAGCATATACATTTTCTGTGAAAGATTTTTGTGTCTTCTACTCTTGTTTTTTAAACTGGGTTTTTCTTTTTTGCATGATTTGTAAGAATTCTTTCTATTTATTTGATGCTAATGACTTTTAAGATAGGCAAACACAGAGTTTTCAAGATGGCGGGATAAAGAAGGAACTTAATGCTCTAATCTAGGAGAAGATAGTTTAAAAAAAATGGAGTGCTATCTCATGAAGAGTTAGGGATGAAACTCCAGAGGAAAGTCTGCACAAATTAGGAGACACTGTGTACCTACATGAGGGTGTGGGCATGTACAACCATGATCCCAGCAGCTGAGAGCCTCAGCGGCAGCTTTGGGGTGAGATAAGACCAGATTGCAGCAGTCCAAGCCACTGGCAATAAAGCTGCGGGAAGAGCCTGGTGAGAATCTGGCTTGGAGCCCTGTGGAGAACAGAGTACCTGCCAACCTAGAGGGAAGATAAGGGGGAGCACGTTTCTCCCCTACCACTTGGCACTGGCATCCTGCAACCAGCTCAGAGAGGGTGGGCTCAATTTTGGACATACGTTATAGCTGCACCAGCTTGTGTCGGTATACAAAGTCACCAGCTAAGAGGAGAAGCCTGAGTTTGGCTGGGAGAATTGACAGGGAACTGGGTGCCCATATCTGTGGGAGGCTTGTGTGCTGGGAATGTGAAAACACTGCGGCTGTGCGGAAGGGTGCAGGGTGCGGCTGGGGCTTTGGGCAGTCACAGTGGGCAACTCCAGACATTCAGGGCTCACTGATTCCCTGATGAGGGTCATTGCTGTGGGATCCACGCTCAGACCAAGGACTGCATGGATCATTTCTGTGGTTCTTGTGGCAGCATGGACAAATACTGTACTCACTGGGGCTAGTGCCCAGGCATTGGTCTCTTTTCAGGAGAGGTGAGTGTTAGACTACGCCAATAGAGCAGAACAAACCTCCTCTCTGATGATAAAAGAGAGAGAGAGAGAGAGAGAGAGAGAGACAGATTGATTTACGACACCCAACTTGAGAGTCACCTTCAGCACTCCTCACACACTGGAGTGCTGAACAGAGTTCCCTGACAACACACACCACAAGCCTTAGATTATTCACTGAAAGAGCAGACACTCCACTAAGCCACAGAGGTAAAGATAAAAGCCCTCATGGGGGAGAGGGGAACCAACAAGTATCTCCACAAATACCTAATAACAAAGGCAGCAATTCGAGAAACAGGAATAAGGAAGACAACAGGAAGCCTCCAGAACAACACAACACTTAAATGCTAGAATGTGAAAATGAAGAGACAGAAGAAATGCCAGAAATGGAATTCAAAAAATTGATTGTAGGATTACTTAGAAGTAATCAGAAGCAAGTCCATGAACTAAAGAAATATGTAGGTGACATGAATGAAAATGTTTCCCATGAAATTGACATTTTAAAGAGAAACCAAAATGAAATATTGGAAACGAAGAAATCAGTAGAACAAATAAAAAATGCAGTGGAAAGCCTTAATAGCAGACTCATTGAGGAAGAAGAAAGAATATCTGAGCTAAAGCACAAATCTATGGAAATTTTAAAGTCAGAACAAAAATAAAAAGACAAATAAGAAAACTAAAACACAGTGTTGGAGATTTATGGGATATTATCAAAAGACCCAAAATATGGATCTTAGGATTTCCTGAAGGCATGGAAAGAGAGAATTGATTAGGAGGTATTTTTAGTGAAAAATTATGGAAAACTTCCCTAATTTGGAGAAAGAAAGGGATGTCCACATATAGGAATCACACAGAACTCCTAATAGATGTGACCAGAAAAGATCCTCACCAGAACACATTGTAGTCAAACTCTTCACAGTAAAACATAAAGAAAAGATTCAAATATGTACACAAGAGAAGTGCCAGATTACTGTCAGAGAATCTCCAAGTAGACTCGGAGCTAACTTGCCATCAGAAACTCTACAGATTGGGAATGAATGGTGAGATGTAGTTCAAGTCTTAAGAGAAAAAAACTGTCAATCCAGACTACTGCACCCTGCAAAGCTCTCATTTATGAATAAAAAGTGAAATAAATACCTTCTCTAAGAAACAGAAATTGAATTTGTCATCATTTGTCCAGCCTTACAAAAGATACTTAAAGATGTGCTGTACACAGAAACACAGAAACATGGTCATCACTACGAAAGGAGGGAAAGGCAGAAAATTTCCCAATAAGAGTACAAAGGAAATCTAAAGTAAACAATAGGGGTATTTATGGAAAATTGGCAGGCTAAAGTCATTATTTCTCAGCACCTTAAATGTAGGGCTCAACTCTCCAGTTAAAAGATACAGACTGGGCTGGCGCCATGGCTCACTTGGCTAATCTTCCGCCTGCGGTGCCGGCACCCTGAGTTCTAGTCCCGGTTGGGGCGCCGGATTCTGTCCTGGTTGCTCTTCTTCCAGTCCAGCTCTCTGCTGTGGCCCGGGAGTACAGTGGAGGATGGCCCAAGTGCTTGGGCCCTGCACACACATGGGAGACCAAGAGGAAGCACCTGGCTCCTGGCTTCGGATTGGTGCAGCGCTGGCCATAGTGGCCATTTGGGGAGTGAACCAAAGGAAAGTAAGACCTTTCTCTCTGTCTCTCTCTCACTGTCTAGCTCTGCCTGTCAAAAAAAAAAAAGATACAGAATGGCAGAATGGATTAAAAAACAGGGCCCATCTATTTGCTGCCTATAAGAAACACCTCTCACCAACAAAGATACACACAGACTGAAAGTGAAAGCATGGAAAAAGATATTCCATGTTAACAGAAATCAAAAAAAGCAAGTACAGCCATGCTAATACCAGACAAAATAGACTTTAACACAAAAACAGGTAAAAAAAAAAAGACAATGAAAGGCACTGTGAAATGATTAAGGGATCAGTTCTGTAGGAAAACATGAATATTATAAATGTATATGCACCTAATTACAGGGCACCTGGCTATTTATCAGAAATGTTAATGTATCTAAAGCAAGACATAGAATCCAATACAATAGTAATGGGGCCTTCAATACCCTACTTTCAGCAGTGGGTAGATCAATGGGACATTAAATCAGCAAGGAAACAACAGAGTTATTCGACACTATGGACCAACTGGACCTGATGGGTATTCTGTAGAAGTTTTCATCCTACAGTTGCAGAATACACATTCTTCTCAGCAGTGGATGGAACCTTCTCTAGGATAGACCACATGCTAAGCCATAAAGCAAATCTGAGCAAATTTAAAAAAAAATGAAATCATACCATGGAATTCATAACGAATGAACCTGGAAATCAATAAAACAAGAATCTCTAGAACATATGCAAACACATGGAGATGGAACAACGTGCTTCTGAATGAACAGTTGATCATAGAAGAAATCAAAAGATAAACAAATGAAACAACAATACAGCATATCAAAAGTTATGGGATACAGCAAAAGCAGTGTTAAGAAGAAAGTTTATAGCAATTGGTTCCTACATCAAGAAATTGAAAAGGCACCAAATAAAAGAGCTATCAATGTATTTCAATGACCTTGAAAACCACTAGCAAACCAAACCTAAAACTAGTAAGAAGAAAGAAACAATTGAAATTAGAGAAGAATCAATACAACTGAAACAAACAACAACGGTAGAAATGATCAGCAAAACAAGAGCTGGTTTTATGAAAAAATAAACCAAACTGAAATATCATTGGCATAACTAATCAAAAAAAAGGAAGAAGACCAAAATCAATAAAATTATAGATGAAAAAGAAATTGTATCAACAGACACCACACAAATAAAAAGAATCATCAGAAATTACTACAAAGAACTATATACCAAAACAAAACAAAACAAAACAAAAAACTAACCAGGTAAACTAGAAGAAATGGATAGATTACTGGACACATACACCCCACATAACTTGAGCCATGAAGACATAGAAAATCTAAATAGACAAACCCTTGATGGAATTTGAATCAGTAAAAAAGGTCTTCCAATAAAGGAAATCCCAAGACCAGATGGCTTCACTGCTGGATTCCACCAGACATTCACAGAATAACTAACGCCAATTCTTCTCAAGGAATTAAAAACAACTGAAAGGTGTATGGGGGTGCTTATTTCTCCAAAACTACTTTTTTTTTTTTTTGACAGACAGAGTAGACAGTAAGAGAGAGACAGAGAGAAAGGTCTTCCTTTTGCCGTTGGTTCATACTCCAATGGCCACCACGGCCAGCGCGCTGCGGCCAGCGCATCACGCTGATCTGAAGCCAGGAGCCAGGTGCTTCTCCTGGTCTCTCATGCAGGTGCAGGGCCCAAAGACCTGGGCCATCCTCCACTGCACTCCTGGGCCATAGCAGAGGGCTGGCCTGGAAGAGGGGCAACCGGGACAGAATCCAGCACCCCAACTGGGACTAGAACCCGGTGTGCTGGCACCGCAAGGCAGAGGATTAGCCTATTGAGCCGCGGCGCCGGCCCCAAACTCCTTCTGTAAAGTCAATATCACCGAAATTCCTAAACCTGGAAAAGATGCAACAGAGAAAGAGAACTACTGACCAGTTTCCCTGATAAACTTAGACACAAAAATCTTCAACAAATTATTAGCCAACAGAATCCAACAGCACCTCAGAAAGCTTATTTACCCAGACCAAGTGTGATTTATCCCTGGTATGCAAGGATGGTTCAACATTCACAAATCGAAGTGGTACATAACATTAACAAACTGAGGGAAAAAACCATGTGGTTATCTTAATAGATGCAGAGAAAACATTTAATAATATACAACGCCATTTCATGATGAAAATTTTAAGCGAATTGGGTATAGAAGGAACATTTCTCAACACAATCAAGGCAATTTGTGAAAAACCTATGGTCAATGTCCAGTTGAGTTCGGAAAAGTAGAAAGCGTTACCACAAAGAACTGGAACCAGACAAGGATGCCCACTCTCACCATTGCTATTCAATATAGTCCTGGGAGTTTAACTAGAGACATTAGGCATGAAAAAGAAATATAAGCGACCAAATTGGGAAGGAGGCACTCATACTGTCCC